ATGAGTTTTTTCTGTTTGAACAAATGATATTATCCACAATAAAAGAAAGATGATGAATTTAACCTCATAATGAACTATCAATAATATAGTTCAAATTTTGTTTTGACAAAAATTGAAGCTAAAACCTCTCACCTACAAATAAAAATAAATACTACTAAACTATAGTATTAAGTAGCAAAATAATTAACGAGTAAATTGACTCGGCAAGTAGGACACCATGTGGAATGTGACTCGACCCTATTTTAATCTCATGTATTATTTCAGTTAATTATACTCTAAACACGGTCACTCGTCATTTTATAATATGGTTTTAATGGGTCAGTTCTTCCATTACTTTCATGATCTCATCGACTATGACAATATCTACATAATTGATGGGTATTTTATTGTTAAATTTCAAACTTCTAGGAATAAGTTGTTGTAATCAACAGGAGCTCAGATTAGGATGTGTGATTAATTAATTAAATCTCAAACGACTTGTTTATTGTACCTGTTTCTGATCGTTAATTGCCGGCGCGAATATTTAAAGAAACACTAATCTAAGCATCTAGTCATAAGTAATATGATTAACAAAAAGCCTTAACATTTACACACACCATGTTTTCTGTTAATCTATACAACATTATATGATTAACAAATGACAAATACGTACATCAAGATTAGCGATTTAATATGTTTGATTTGGAAATAATTGTGGGATTACGTACGTACGTAATGCGACAAGATAGTAGCTTTCCGATGAGATTGTAATTTGCGATGGAGGAATCTTATTGGCTTTTGTATTTGGAAGAAGAATTAATTTTGTGTGTTCAAGGAATAAACAAGGTCAAATTCCGGAGGAATAGTACTTGTATTAGGCCAATAACAAAATTACAAGCATGATTTAATTTGAAAATACTTAAAAACAAAGGAGAAGAAAAAAAAATAAGCATCTCTTTCAAATGAAACTTTTAAGAAAAATACAAGCGCTTCTTATAAAAACTTTTCAAGTATTTATTTTTTCAACTTTAAATAGCTTTTAAATTTTTTTGATCAAATATTATCTGAAGCGTTTTTTATAATCTAAAAACAATTTCAATTGTTTTAGAAGTGCTTCCAAACAATTTTCAAGAGGAACTCTCTCTATACAAATAAAAAGTTTGATTGCTTTCCAATAGTTGGTAGATTTTGTGAGCTGAATGAGATTAAACCTAATGGTAATTCGTTACCACTTTTGTTAGTTTATATCAATGAATATTGGAATGATTAACATCCATGCTTAATGCAAATATTTTTACCGTGAGAAGGTAAAAAGTAAAAATTAAAACGTAAAGTGTAATGTGGACTGCAGAACAGAAAATATAGATATTAACGCAAAGTAAAAGGTAAGGACTGCACGGCGAGGGATACATGGAGCCGTAGAGGTGGTGTGAGTGAGGAGCATTCTTTGTTTGGAGTATGCACCTCGAAAGATTGCGCCATTCAATTTTAATTTTACGATATTTATTAATTTATTTTACTAATCAACTTCACAAAAACTAAAAAATTTAAACAGTATTAATCCTTTTTTTTTTTTTTTAAATGGTTCGAATCTCTCAAACTGCATGCTTGAGAGACAAAACCCCGGAGCGGATCTCATATTGTCTGGGACAACCGCGATTGAGAGAATCTTGAACGCTTTGCACGATGGACCCAAAAAACACGTGGCAGAATCAAATGGTGATGGATCAATTTCAGTGACAGGTGTCAGCCCTATTGGACAGGTGTCAGGTTCGGATAGCGGACCCCCTCTTACACAAAAAGCATTTTCGTCCTCAAAAAGGCCGTTACATAAAACGCCGTTTAGTCTTAAACGTGATGCGGTACCCATTTCCGTGTATAAAAATTGGGTTAGCCGGTCCCACAAAGAGGAGAAGAAGTATACTTATTTTTCGGCGGGTCCCACTGGGTCCACAAACGATGTCGACATTTGAAGCCTCCGGCACTCCCGCCTCATCGTGGGCCCCCCTTGAATACATAGGCTGGATGGTATTCTCGAGATGGTGTTTACAATATGGAGGGGGGGCGTGTAAAGCACTTGCACTGAGGGTTCTCCACGTGGCAACATGCTGACACTAAGCTCGATCTGATTGGTGAGGTGTTAGTCCAGATGTCAAAGTGTGAAGTAAAAGTTGGGAAATGATATACTTCAGATCCTTTTTCACCAAGTAGATCATCAAGTCATACAATCCGGATCTTTGAAATTTGATCTAATGATTAAAGTTTTTAAAACTTTTAAAGTAAGATCATGTTTGTAACCGTTTGATCAAATTTCAAAAACTCGAATTATATACCTTAGTGGACTTCATGAAAAAGATCCTTTCCCGTAAGACTTGATCCTCAGACCCCTCCTCATGTGGGTTTTGTATACGGAAACTACTTCTTCCGACTCGACCTAGAGCAGGTGTTGTTGACACTCGCTGGACATCTCAGTCATATTGATCACTGGTTGGGGGAGCAAATTATATTAATGTATTCACTGATCCTTTGTATTGCACACGAAAATATACTCAATACTTGCTAATATCGAGATTTGAATAAGTCATGTGCGTTGTATATGACTTTTGTTTGAATTATTTTGGATTTTTAACTTTATATTTATAATAGAAAGATATATGTACACTAGGAGATGGATGAATAAATTTATTTCAGACATATAACCTCCTTTTCACAAGTTAATTCTTTTTGGTACGAACCAAAAATTTTGACTAGTAAAAAAACATGTCATGTTCGTTTCAAAAACTTATGGTGAAATACTAAAAAAGTATACTAGGCACACTAACATGGAGTTTAACTAATTACAAACTTTAAGAATTCAACGCGGTCCACTTGTTCAAAGAGAAAATTGTAGCAATGGTCTCTTAACTTTAACCTAATTAGAGGAATGGTTCCTCAATTAAAAATTCATGATCATTGGTCCCTTAACTCATCAAAATGTGCAGTTATGATCATTAACTCCACCAGAATTTCATCAAAATGATTCATGTTGGAATGACCGTTGCTACAATTGAGTTAACGTTGAGGGACCATTTCTCTAATTGGGTTAAAGTTGAGGGACCATTTCTCTAATTGGGTTAAAGTTGAGGGACCATTGTGACAATTTTTTTTATTTGGTTTTCTATATTTGCCCCTTGATCGTAACTCATTTTGACGAAAATTTGAACGGAGTTGACGAAAATGACCATAGTTACACGTTTTAATGAGTTAAGGGACCAATGATAATTGATTTTTAGTTGAGGGACCATTGCTATAATTTCCTCTTAAAAAAATGTTGAAATGTTCGAAATAATCTTGAAGAGTTATGGGGAGTTAAAAGTATGGAATAACCTTGAAACCACGTCATGTTCAAGGCACATGACTTATTTTGAGAAAAAAATTAACAGAGTTAAGTTGATATAACAAATTAATAATTTTTGAAAGTTAATACGGCAAATAACTCAAAATTTTAGTTTATATAACAAACTAAAAATGATGTATAATTTCATATGACATTTTCAATATTTTTTCCTAATGGAAAAATCAAAACTATGATTCAACTAAAATTCAGGAAAACATGCTCAAATTTTCTCGTTATTCTACTGGATATAGCAATTAACATACAAAAATGCTACTCTTACCACATATTTGTTCTATAATTTGTAACATATCTCTAATAGAGATAAGATTCATATGTGTTGATGAGTTGAGATAAATCTCACATGTGTTAACAGGCTCTACCTTTATTAAAATGTGGTACAAATAATTGTACAAGTATATAATAAATGTAGCATTACTCGTTAGCATATAGAGACGTGCTGATGAAGGGCAGTGGGGGTTTGCAAATGCGTTTAGGTACACAACGCAGCTGGACCTTGTATTTCATTCAGAATGGGAATGGCTCTCAATTGATGGAAGCGTACGGCCCCCTGATTTGTTCGCCGTGTGCCCTCCTGCTCCTCTCTCTCTCTCTCTCTCTCATCACTAACAAATTCGCAATCAGCATCTTTTTTTTGTAACGTGGCGGTGCTGCCACGGAAAGGGATTCTCTCCGATCTCTTCCATTAAATCCATCAAATTTATTAATTCGGATTTTTAAAATTTGATATAACAGTTAAAAATATATGATTTTTTAAAAATTATAATAATTTTAATTATTAAATCAAATTTTAAAAATCTGAATTAATGAATTTGATGAATTTAATGGTCTCCTGATCCTTTCCGTGGTGCCACGGCTCTTATCCTTTTTTACGCTTGTTTACGTACCTGCCGGACCAAATTTCTACACTCACCGCACAAACTCCCCAATCAGCCCTCACCATTTAATAAATAAATAAATAATCACAATCCCAAAAGCCCACAAATTAAATAAAAAATATCCCACTTGTTATGGCCTCCAATGTTTCCTTATCTCTTCTATTCGGAACACGAAGTAATACATCACATATTATTATACAAATAATGAGATATGTGTGTTAAAAAGTTAATAACTTTAAAATTTTTTTACCACTTATATAAAAACACGTAATGTACGAGAAAATTTTCATTGTGATGAGAAATTGGTGATACATCATATGTTTTTATATAAGTGGTGGGATATTGTATTTTTTAAGTTATTAACTTTTTACCACACATATTCCACCATTGATATAATAACATGTGATGTACCACCCCGTATTTTTTTCAATGTGACTTTCATACGAGATGGTACACCACGTATCGCTATATAAATTGTGAGATATATGTGTTAAAAAATTAATAAATTAAAAAATAAAATTTTCTACCATTTACATACAAACACGTGATGTACGACTTGTGTTGGGTTGCCGTTGTAACTATAAATTTCTCCTCTCTCCTCTCTCCTCTCTCAGTCTTTCTCATAAAAAAGTAAAACCTGCAACAATTACAAGCCCAAAATCCCATTTGACCAACATGGACAAAGCCTAGTGGGGGTTTCTTCTATATCTTTCAGTGCCTTCTTCCTCTGTTTCTCACAAACCCAAAATATGAAGAGAGATCACCGCGATAGCCGTGCAACTGTAACTGCACGTCAAAACAATTCCAAACCGGAATACTCATCACCGCCGTCTTCCGCCCTGAACGGCAAGGCCAAGATTTGGGAAGATGACCAAGACGGGTACAGCGCCGGCGGCGACATGGATGAGCTGCTTGCCGTTTTGGGGTACAAGGTTCGGTCCGACGACATGGCCGACGTGGCGGAGAAGCTCGAGCAGCTCGAAATGGTCATGGGGTCGGCTCAGGAAGATGGGATTTCTCAGCTCTCTGACACCGTCCACTACAACCCGTCGGATCTCTCCGGGTGGGTCCAGAGCATGCTCTCTGAGCTCAACACCGGCGACGATATGCCCTCAATCGACGACCCTCTTCTCGCTCCGGCTGAGTCCTCGTCGATAACCTCGATGAGCTTCTCCAATTCCCAGCGGAGTCGAGTTTTCAGCGACGATTCCGAATACGATCTCAGGGCTATTCCGGGCGTGGCGGCGTACCCGCCAGCTTATTCGCCGTCGGATTCCGAGAGTACGAGAAAGCGATTGAAGACCTCAATTGGGTCCGATTCTAATGGGTCTAGTTCCGGCGCTGTATCCGATCCGACTCGGCCTCGGGTCCTGGTTGACTCGCAAGAAACCGGCGTGCGGCTCGTCCACACACTCATGGCCTGTGCAGAGGCTGTCCAGCAGGAAAATTTGAAGCTTGCAGACGCGCTTGTAAAGCACGTGGGCCTACTCGCGGCTTCCCAAACCGGCGCTATGAGAAAAGTCGCCACGTACTTCGCTGAAGCTCTGGCTCGTCGGATTTACCGAATTTACCCTCAGGATTGCCTCGATTCTTCCTACTCGGACATCCTCGAGATGCACTTTTACGAGACCTGCCCTTATCTGAAATTTGCTCACTTCACTGCCAACCAGGCAATACTCGAGGCTTTTGCCACCGCGAGCAGAGTACACGTCATCGATTTCGGGCTTAAACAGGGGATGCAATGGCCAGCGCTCATGCAGGCGCTGGCACTCAGGCCTGGTGGGCCACCTGCGTTTCGCCTGACGGGTATTGGCCCGCCGCAGCCCGACAACACTGACGCCTTGCAGCAGGTAGGATGGAAGTTGGCCCAACTGGCGGAAACTATCGGGGTTGAGTTTGAATTCCGAGGCTTCGTCGCCAGTAGTCTGGCGGACCTCACGCCGTCTATGCTCGACATCCGCCCGTCAGAGGGCGAGGTTGTGGCGGTGAATTCGGTTTTCGAGCTTCACCGCCTCTTGGCTCGACCCGGGGCGGTAGATAAAGTGTTGTCATCAATCAAGGCCATGAAGCCTAAGATTGTGACAATTGTGGAGCAGGAGGCGAACCATAACGGGCCGGTTTTCCTGGACCGGTTCACGGAGGCATTGCATTATTATTCAAACTTGTTTGATTCGCTGGAGGGATCATCGGGGCCGAGTCAAGATTTGGTCATGTCCGAGGTGTATTTGGGCAGGCAGATATGCAACGTGATGGCATGTGAAGGTGGCGACCGAGTCGAGCGACACGAGACGCTGAGTCAGTGGCGAGGCCGGATGGACTCGGCCGGGTTCGACCCGGTCCACCTTGGCTCGAACGCGTTCAAGCAGGCTAGCATGCTGCTAGCTCTTTTCGCCGGCGGAGATGGGTATCGGGTGGAGGAGAACAATGGGTCTCTCATGCTTGGGTGGCACACCCGGCCGCTCATAGCCACCTCGGCTTGGCAGCTGGCGAGCGCAACCGAGTGAGTGTGCGAGTCAACTCAGTGTTCAGTAAGATAGAGAACCGACTCTAAAAGAACCTTTGGGGGTGGTGATTGATTGATTGAACCACTGGGCACCCAATGGGGTGCGACACTGTGACCATGTGAGTTGTGACTTGTCAGTAGAGAGAGAGTCGGGACTACAGTCAAATGTGAAACTGTAAAACCAATCCAATCCAATCAAGTGGTGTAATACTGTGTGGTTGTAATTGTAATGGTCGTTTTTCATGGCCTGAGGTGGAAGAGCAACTTACATAGAGCGGAACCATTATTGCATGACATTTCGATTTAATAGTGCATTGTCATTTGAAGGAAAACTTGAACATGATCATGCATTATTGAATAGGAAAGCTATGTAGCGGTTAATGAGGTTTATGCAAGTCATTTTCCTGATGTGGCTCCTACTCTCGGTCAGATTTCTCCTTGTATTTAAATTTTCTAGGTTTTTTTTTCCCTTTTTGTAGGCCCGTCTGCATAATTTCAAGTTGAAGAGTTCTTCCAACAAGGGGGATCAATGAATCATTGAGAGAATGTGTAATTATCTTTCTTTCTTGAATAAAAATGATGAGCATTGATTCTTGAATGAGAAAGCAAGCATTTTACCTTCTCTGCAAATTTGACGTCCTTATCATCTATAGCCTAATAGAAGGGCTCACACGGACGAGTATGTTGCCACTGGGACGTCTCTTTTCAATAACATCACGTCAAGTGGAGTAAGATTACATTGTATTATTGATTCTTGAACGAGAAATAAAGCATTTTGCTTTCTCTGTAAATTTGACACATTTTCATATTCTATCCAGTATAAGAACATTAGACATCCCATTAGTTCTCTGGGTGAAAAAACATTAGACATCCCATCTTCTAAAACCAACACTTTTGATGTTATTTGACGTACAATAATTTCTATGTGTCTATTATTATGGATCTGCTTAGATGTACTGAGAACGTTGTCGTTGTGGTATCTCTGTTCAATAACATCATGCCATGTACGGTAAAACTAGCAGCAGTATTGTATTGTTGAACCGAGACGCGTGTGTCGGTGTAACCAATCCATCTAAGTTGTCTTCCCTGCGTAAGCGTAGGGTGGACTTAGCTGATGTTGATGATTCTAAAGATAGAAACATGGCCTGCATATGCTATATGTCACCATCTGAAAGAGAAACTGCAGGTGACACAAGCATGATAAATATTATAGCAAAGTGCTCCCGGTTTTAAGTTGGACTCAATTTTGTGTTTTGTTTTCTTGTTTATCTGTCTTTGAAGTGGAATATATATATAAGTGGCAACTTGCATTTTGTTACGTTGCAAAAAAAATTACGGTTTCCGATTTTACCTTTTTATGTGAAGAGCAAAGTATTTGAATATTTTACAGATTAGTTAACCAAATCCTCCCAACGGTTGTTTTCTGTGTCTCGGAATTCCCCCGACATGTTTTTTTACCCATGAAATGCCAACTCAAATCAAAGGTAAAATTTTGAATAGTTGGCTGACTAGGGATTCAAGGATTTGTAAGCTGATGTGCAAATCTATTTGGATACTACGAAAGCACATGTAAAGTTAGAGACTCCCGGTTCAAGATCTCAAGAGCATTCTGATGCTTGAGTTAGCAATCGTGTTCATTTTTATTCAATATCTTCAAAGAATTTGTCTAGTCCTTAGTGGCTTAGGGCTCATTTAAAAGTGTTTTTACAATGATTGAAATTGTTTTTAGATAAACTATTTTTAGATTCCAAAAACAGTTCAAGTGCTTTCAGAAGGAAGCAACAATTAATGATTTCACGTGTGATTTTGGTATTCAGATGAAGATAGGGTTATGACAAAAATTTAATCCAAACCGCATGATCTCATTCAAACTGATCTAACGGCTCATCGTGTGATTAAAAAATTGAGAATATCTTCCCTTAAAGGGCATGTATATGATTCTGTGGTTTATATAAGAGTAAACTGTCAATAATCCCTTAGTGAATTTTTGGGGATTTTTTATAAAGAAAAATATGAACATTGTCTTTGTTTTTTTTTTTGGCCAAATGTAATTTAATAAAATGTAATAAGAAGGCTATGTGTAAAGGGAAAGGATCATCTCCGGATCATTTCCACCAAATCTATTAAGGCACACAATACGGGCATTTGAAATTTGGTCAAATGACTAAAGTTATTCTAACTTTTAAAGTGGACCCCTGTTTGTAGCCGTTGATTTTAAATACAAAAATCATCGCTTCTAATTAAACTTCTAATCATTTAGACAAATTTTATAAATTTATACTATTATGAGAAGAAATTTGTAAAAATTGGAATTTAAATAAGCACACATAGTGTTTTGAACTCAAAACCTCCTCATTAAATTAAAGAGAATTTTAACGAAAAACTCCCAGTACTGTTCACTTTAACGAAAAACCACATTTTTACACTAAAAAGTCAATCATGGTACTATTCACTTTACCCTTTATTTTGTCCTTATCGTTAAAACTCAAAGTTTTTAAGCCATTTTCATTAGTTTTTCTTAAATTGAAACAACAAAATCACAAGTTCTAGTTAAATTTCATTGTCATTAAACCAAATTTTTTAAATTTATACTCTTATGAAAATGTATATAAATATGTTACACTAATAATTTTGGTGCCCCTAATTTTTTTGGGCCCCGGATGGTCGTCCTGCCCAGACTGGACCTGGGCCAGCCCTGTATCTAATTGTGTTCATCTCACATTTTGACACAATAAACAAATGACTAGATTCAAGTCCATTTTAGTTGGTCACAACTTATTTCAACCAACCAACCAAATACATCCATAGTAATTATATAGGCCTCACAATGCACACAGTACTTACTAAATGCAGTGAATTACTGAATTTAATTAACTTGGAGCATGCAGTGATTTTGTGGATGCTCAAAGATAGAAGATAAGGATAAACACTAGGAATTTGCAATGATCAATCGATCCTTGTATGACTAAATCAGGTGTTACAGTGGACCACACCGTGGCATGATTAATAATCCCAGCTGCAGGCAGCCAGGCAGGCACCTTTGTTCTAAGATTGGACCACCGGAGAGGAACTTCATTAGGTCGACACATTGCCATTAAAATTGGAAAGGCATTCATTGGCTCTTGGGGCAGAGATCATGATGGAAAACCTGAACTTAAAACAATTTTTCGGGCTACTTTGACTTCCATTTAGGTTCCTAGCGAGAGGATTTTCATGTATACTTCAGAGTATGGAATATATTGAACGTTTTAACCGTTAAATTTTTGTTAAAAAAAAATTTAAAATATTCGGGTTATTCAATATTCTGGAGTATCTAGAATTTTTACGTAGGTAGACTAATAAAAGTTGTATAAAAGCATCGATGACATTGTAGAGCAAAAGATAGGAATGAAATTAAACATGAATGCATCGAGGACAATGTGGAGCAAAAGAGGATGCATCTAGTGAGGGGCGGATCCACAAAGGGTCAAAGTGGGTCAGTTGATCTTGTGGACGTTGAAAAGTTGGCTAGGTGAGCCTCGGGTTGATGACCGCATGGTCGCTTGGGCAGGGGGCATTTCGTGCATACCATGTGTTCGATGAAATGGTACAACCAACTCGGCAACGGTTGCCCATCCAGAAGCCGGCAAACCCCTTGACCGGAGCCTAATTTGCCCACCCAGTTGACCTGAAACATGCCTGTGAAGAAGCATTCACTCGGCAAAGCAACAACTACAGGAGGTGGAACCGTGGAGGAAGAAGAAACAATTAGTCCAAATTGACGTCGTTTTGGTTCCCATCCTCTTAAATAAAACAGAGCATTTGATTTGTATAGGGGTGAGCACTTTAGTACGTTTATCGACCAACCCAACCAAAATTTGTTTGGTTGGGTTGGAAGAACCTGATTGGCTAAAAAAAAAAAAAACTTTGAATTTGTAGAAGATTCTTCCCGGAAATTTGAAATTTCAGCTCCAATACGTTGTATCACGTTCAACGCAGAAGAAAAAAATTGAATCAATATAAGTATATTAATTCAATCAATAAAAAGGTTAATCATACTGAGAATGATTGAAACGTATTACTTCCATGATTAAATGTGGACACTTTCTTTAGCTTAGCGTCATGAGCATCCTGATAACGTGTTGTTAAACTATTTAATTGAAAAATTATATAGAGGGATGGAGAGAGTGTGCAGCAAGGAGTAGAGAGAATTGAGTGAATTCCGAGGTATGATTTTTCACCTTATTGTGAGTTCTTTATTTATAGTAGTAGGAAGGTAAATTACTTACCTATTAGGTATTAAAAAAATCATCTAAAATATACTAAAGAATCCCAATAAAAATTTACTAGAATTTACACAACCACATTCCTAACTAAACTAAGATTGCAACAAGATTATTATTTTCATCACTAAACATTATATAGTACTGTTATGTCTTCCACCGTTTATTCATTTCAATCTACGTTCTAGAACGTTGTTTTTTTCAGTATTTGAGGACCCACCTTCAGTCTTTATCATGTAAAGATGGTTATTATCTTAGGAATAATAATGTTAGGAAAATATCTTTGGATGAATAATTGAAAGGGGTACCATTGTGTGCGCCACTTTAATTTTATTTCAATGCTCTAAATAATTAGGCAAATTTGAATTCGTAAGACTTCTAACCGTGAAGAAAATGTACAAACACAGTGCTTCACTGAATAATCACCTTATAATCTAATGGTCATATAGTTTTCAATTTGTGTGATTTTATTAAAAATAATATTTAAGGGAAGAACAAAAAGTAGACGGTTTTTACATAGTGTTGCAGGATGAGCCCTCAGATGGTGTCTATGAAGTAAGCTTCTTCTGGTTGTAAAACTACACCCCACTATATTTTTATGATTTGAACCATCTATCTTAGGGCATACCAGCTCGTTGTCAAACCATGGCAAAGTCCCTAGTTTATATTCAGCAAGCACTAACCCGTTGTCAAACCAGGACAACATTCCTAGTTTCTATTTAGCAAGCACTAACCCAAT